CAGGGGCTCAGCAGGCAGGGAGGCGGATGCCCAGCGTCCCCCTGACCCTCCTGGTGGCTGTCGGTGGCATCTGCACAGCTGGCGTTTCATCCGACGCTGAGTGTGGGGGCTGCAGGTGTGCATGGAGGACACCCGCTCGGGTACAGAACGGAGGGAGGCTCCGGCTCCTGGTCACAGAGCTCCCCGTGGCGGCAGACGGGCCTGGGCACCTGCAGGTTGGTGGCTGCGGGCTCGCCCCTCCTCCCTCCGGACCCGTCATCCGCAGAAAATGGTGTCGTTGCCCAGAACTGTGGTCCGAGGCTTAGAAACGGGTGCGCCGTGCAGAGGCCACGGGGCTTGGAAGCAGGAAGGTGCTAGGGGATGGAAAGCCCGCCCCAAGCGCGGGAGCTCTGAGCTGTGAGGGCAGGGCCTGGGCCAAAGGCTGATGGGACTGGGTTGGGGGTCAGAGCCGGGGTCCCCTAGGACCAGGATGTCTGAGGGGAGGCCGGGAGGATGGGCCCAGCCGGGCCAGGACGGGCCCCAGCGCCTCGCCCGTGTGCGAGGTGTCGGTTCTCCGTGGAAAGCTGCTGAGTAGCATCTGAGTAGCTCTCCCGAGAGTCATGATTGTTAACGTGCAAAACGCAGCAAACCCACAGCCTCAGCCAGCGGCTGCTGCTCTGACGGTCATTTCTCTGCAGCGTCCAGTGTGGGAGCGGGAAGACTGGACAGTCCCCCCAGCCCGGCGCCTGCCCGGGGACCAGCGCGGGTCATGGGAGCAGGGCTCCGGGGGCCTGGCTGACGGGCCTCCACCTCCAGCGAGCCGCTGGGCCCTGGGCTGGGCTCAGTGTCAGGGCAGAACCTGGGCCTTATTTCATCACCTACAAACACCCCGTCTCTAAATCCCGTCGGACCCCAGTATGTGGATTTGGGGGGGGCACAGTTAGTCCCTTACGGCCTCTGATTCATGGCACAGGTGGGATGTGGCCAAAGATACCACGAGGCGCCCTGCGGCCCCTGTGATCCTCAGGGAGAGGTGCTGGGTGGGGCCCTGGCCGGGGGGCCCTCCTCCTCCTCCTGCCCCCTCAGTGGCCTCTAGCACCTCAGCCCAGGCTCTCCTCCACATCCACGCGGGGCGTCGGTGGCTGGGACTCTGTGCAGCCAGTGGGCGGGGATCAGTTCCCGCTCGGTCCTCAGCGCGGTAGCTGGTTCTCCACGCTGACTCCTCCGAGATGTCCGCCTGGGTTGCAGCTGGGTTTGCAAAGGGCTTTCCCAGCCTCCAGGGCCCAGTGAGGGCATGAGCCCAGCTTCCCCGTGCAGGTGCCCTCTGGCCCAGCGCGTGGTTGTCTGGGGCCCTGCAGGTGGGGCTGTGAGCACCAGACAGGACACGGCTGAGGGTGTGGCGGGGAGGGGCTCCGTGCCCACCTCCCTAGGCCCCTGGCCTCCTGGCGTAGCTGCTTCTGTCTTCTGTTCTCTGGTGGGGAAATATCACATCCCGGGGCCATGGGGACGCCATTCGGGTTGTGAGGACTGTGTGCTCGGCCAGGGGACCCAAGCTCGCCGCAGTCCCAGTCCTGTTGGGGAGGTGGCCAGCCCCCACCCCCCAGTTCGGAGAACACAGGTTCTCAGCCGAGGCTGAGGGTGCTGCCTGAGGGCTCCCCTCCCGCAGGCTGTGCTGGGCGACCAGGTCCCCTGGGCCTGCCCTGGCGCTGTGCGGGAATCCCCCCTCTCCACGCACCGCCCCTCCGCGGGCTCCGGGTTAGGTGCCCGTGAGAACAACGGGAGCCCACGGATCGGACCGCCACCGACTCCACCACCCTCCTGTGGGATGGCCAGTTAGCGGCACCCCCAGGACACGGCGTCAGACGGTCACAGATCTGTGATTCGATTGCTGTTGTTACTATAAAGTACTGCGTACAAATGCACTCGGTCTGATTTTATAAAATGCAGTGGACAAAAGGATTGTATTTTTCCTGTTATATCCTCGGGATAAAAGTCAGACGTTGTTATACAGGAAGGAGCAAAAGTCGGCTGACAGTTGTTCATGTGGAAAATCATGCAGTAATTGGCCAGTGACAATACGAGAATGAGCTGCTCATGTACCGCACGGCCCCCCGCCTCTGCCGCCTGTACCCTAAATTCCCGCCGGCATCCCTGCTGCTTCCGCTGCTGCGCATGTGGTAGCAGTCGGCCCTCACGGGCGCCCGCACACCCTGGGATGACCCATTTCGGACACAGGCAGCAGCCTCCTGTGGGGATGGCCCCGGGGCGAAGGGGCCTGGTGTGAGGTCACCCCTTCGGGGCTCCCATCAGGACTGACGGCCTGGCCCCAGGACAGCACGGCCGCTCGGAGTGACTGTCACCTCTAGGAGCCTCTTCCCAGGACCGGTCGGCAGCCCAGAGGTCACTGCGTCCAGGCTGAGGGCTCCCCTGTTCTGCAGAGGCTGGTGCGTGGGCCTGGGGGGAACCGAGGCCCCCTGTGGGCCTGGGATCGGGAAGGTGAGGCCATGTCTGGGGAGAGCAGGGCAGGGAGGAGCGGCTGGCATGTCCGGGGCGGGGGGGGGGGGGGGTAGGGGGGTGGGGGGGGCACGCGGTGTCTCAGGGACCCGCAGGCGGTGCTCACACTCCGTGCTGTGCCCTGGAGCCGGAAGCCGCATCTCCCACCACATTCCTGCTGCCTCCTTAAGCGGCGCTTTGGAAAAGAATGCTCAGTGGCAGAAAGAAAAGGGAGAACAGATCCAAGTCCTGGCCCACGTACTCCCTTAGGTCCTGGGACACAAAGCTGTTGGACCCTGGCCATCGCTGAGGCCATCCTTATGCAGTGACAGGCTCCCAGCAAGTGCTCCTGCACTCCTGGCTGAGAGGAGCGGAGCGGCCTGGGGGGTGGGGGTGGAGACAGGGAGCCCCCTGCCCCTCCTCCGCCTGCGCCTGCGGGAGGCTCAGGGCTCTTGGCAGGGGGCTGCTTCCCCTCAGCTCCATCTTGAGACTTTGTTTTCGGATTTGAGGTATCTGGGACGGGTAAGAATGGAAAAAATGTGCTTTCCCTCTTCCAGATAATTGCCACAGGCCCCGCTTTTGTTTAAATTCTTGGAAACTCATGGTTGCGGCCTGTGAAGTGGGGAGGCCTGGCCCGGGAGCCTCCCACCGGGAGGATGTGGGTGTCTGCGCTTGGGGGAGCCCGGGCTCGGGTCAGCGTGAGGACACGGCCGGTGTGCCTTCTCCCTCCCGGGGACACGCGGGGAGTGCGAGGCCAGGCGCTGTGTGAGCGTGCGAGATGTGGTCCCAGAAACGAGGCGTCCCAGCCGGCAGGGGATGTCAGGGCGGCCTTCGAGGGGAGATTAGGAGAGGCGTCCGGAGGGCAGTGAAGAGCCCCAGCTTTCCAGCTGTGAGGTTGTGGCAAACCTGTCAATTTCATACCCGACGAAGTTCAAGTTCACTTAGTCATTCCACCCAGACGACCTTGCCCTGTGGCAGGTTCCGTGGTGCCGGGCGATGGGTGGTGTCGGCCTGAAGCCGTCCAGTAGGGAAGGTGTTTCATCAAAGAGTACGTTGGTCCAGCTGTGCAGAGCGGGCGGCGGAGCGGGCGGCTGGGGCGGTGTTCTGCTCTGATCGGCTGGGGGACTTCCGGCAAGCTGCCTCATTATTACATTTAACTAGAGGGGCTCCCTCAGCCTGGCCTGCGCCCTCTCGCAGTCCGGGAGCCCGCGGGGAGCAGGCCTAAGCCGTCAGTCGGACATCCTTAGCGCTGTCGTGGAGGTGGGAGAGGCTCCCGCCACCACCGCTGTGCTCGCCAGCCGTGAGCCCAGCTTCTGGCTGAGCAGCACTCCCCCTGTGGGAGCGCACTGACCACAAGGGGGCAGATGCTCCCCCTGGTGGTCAGTGCGTCATAGCGGCCAATTGTTCTGCTGTTCAGTCAATTTGCATATTAGCTTTTTATTATATAAGATATGTTTTTTATTGATTTTAGAATGAGAGGAAGGGAGAGGGAGGGGGAGGCATCAATTGGCTGCCCCCGCCTCCTGGGTTGCAGGGGATCGAGCCTGCAACCTGGTGCTATGCCCTGACCGGGAATCGAACAGGTGACCTCTTGGTGCATGGGATGGTGCCCAACCATCTGAGCCACGCCACCAGCCGGGCAAGTTACTGAGGACTTTAATCTGGTTCCCTCTCAGTAAAGAGGGCACAGAAAAAGGTACCAGCCTCAGCCCCACTCAGGGGTCAGCTGGCTGTGCCCTCCGCACCCCTGGAGGCTCCTTCCCTGGGACGTCCTGCCCCCTCCGGCCCCTGGAAGGCGGAATGAATGGCCAGCCCAGTCAGGGGGAGCCACGTGTCTCTAGACATAACGACCACCCAGCACAGCAGGGGCCTCCGGTCTCCCTAAGGGCGGTGCAGGGTCAGAGTGGAATCTGAGTGCCTGGACTTCGCTTCTCAGGGGGAACCCGGCCCCCTGCCTGTAGCTCCCTTTCTTCGCCTGCTCCCAGCAGGGGCAGCACCGCAGGGCCCCACCGGGAGGGCGAGGGCAAGGGCGGCTTTGGGTGTGGCGTCCTGAATGGGGGCCGTTCCTGCTAAAACACTCCCAGGCCCCGCCCTCCTCCGGGTGGGGTGGCGGACAGTCTAGTCCCTGGTGCTGGAGGGAGGGTGGAGAGCTTTCCTGCTGGGGCTTCCTGGTGTCCTGGGGTTTCCCTGCATCCGGTGTGGGTGCAGAAGGGCCTGCCTTTACTGGAGTGTCTCTGAGAGCCTGCTGCCCACTCCCCAGGCTTCTGCCGCGGGGAAACTGAGGCAGAGCTGAGTGGGGCCCTGGGTCTTGGGGAGGCCGGCATCTACCTGCCTCCGCTGCTCTGAGCATCCCTCTGCCTGGACTCCTTCCCTGTCTGCCCCGGCCTCTCTGGATGCTGCCCTTGAAGAAGTCACATGACCCCTGAAGTCTTGCCTCCTCCCTCCCTCCAGGGGCCGGGCCTGGGAGGGTCCCCGTGGCTTTATGTTCGCAGGACCCCAGGGGCCTGGAAGCTGCCAGCGGGCAGGGAGCATCCACTCTGAGCCCTGTCCTCGGAGGGGAGGAGGGACCCGGGAGGGAAGTTGTGCAGGAACCAGCACTCAGCCCGCCCGCGCCGGAGGCAGCCCCGGGACACTCGGGAGGGCTGCTCCATGGGTCCCCTAGTCCCCGGCCCCCACCGGGAGGCCCCTGGGGCGCACGGGACCCCGGCCCGCCCCGCTCGGCCGCACTGTTAGGGCGGCGAGGCCAGGTGACGGGCCAACGCGGCGCGGGCGGCGCGATTGCCCTTCGCGGCCTCGAGGGGGCCCTGCGGCGGCCGCGAGCCGGGAGGACGCCCGCTCCTCCTGTCGGCGCCCGGGCTGCTGCGCCATCGCCGCGGGACCGCCGCTCGCCAGGTACCGGAGGGGCCACGCCGCCCTCTTTGTTTCGGGTCCGGCGCCTGCGTCTGCGCCCCGGGGAGGGGTTGGGGCGCGCGGGCAGGGGAATCGGGGCGCGAGGGGACCGGGCTCGGCCGCGGTCCCGGACGGGGAGTGGAGACACGGTCAGGGGGCGCGGGGCGGGGATCGGGGCGCGCAGGGACTTGCTGGGGCGGGACTGGGGGCTGGGGCCGGGGTCGGGGCGCGGGCGGAGGTGGGGGGACGGGTCTGGGTCCGGGGCGCAGGCCGGAGCGGCGCTGCCCGAGTGGACTTCACTCTCCAGGACCGTCCGGGACTGCGGGGCGGGGAGCCGAGCCGGGACGCCACAGGGACGCGGCAGCCCTCCCGCCCGGGCCGCAGTCTCGGGGCGCGTGTGTCCCCACTTTCCCTGCGGGGGCAGGCGGAGGGCCCCTGCGCCCCCTCTGTCGCCGGGGGAGGCGGCCACCTGTGGCATGTGCTGCCGCCGCTGACAAGCGGGAGGAGGGCGAGGGTCTCGGGCGGGTCCGTGCGCCCTGCGCTGGCTCCTTTGCTGGAAGCGACTTGAAAGTCGGTGGCGGGTGGCGGGAAGGACAGAGCCCCCTCCGTTCCCGGGAGGCCAGTGGGCGACCCCCTCTCTAACCGGCGGGAACATAAACGCGCGGGGTGTGGGCACCTGGGGGGGAGCACGGGGAGGGCGCTGCCTACGATCAGCCGCAGCCTCTCACAGCTTTGATCCCGGGGCAGAGGCCCCGCTTCTCTTTGGCTCCTGGCAGTGACGTGAGGCAGGACCTGCGGGGCGCTCACCCCAGCTGCAGTGCAGTGTGGGAGTCGGGCGCAAGCCTGGGTGCTTCCCGGAGGCTTTGGGCTGTGACGGCCCTGAGGTGCGTGGCTGGTGCCTTGGGAACTGGATGTGCTTGTCCTGGAGGTTTTGTCTTCCGCCTTTGGGCCCCGGGAGCTTCTATTTGCAAATCAATCAACAAGTATTAAGAAAGGCAGTTCTGGGAGGGCTGCTGGGCTGGGGCACCTGGGCCTCTGGACAGTCCTGCCCCCGGGACAAGGTGGTAGGGACCCTCCTGTGAAATAGAGCCAGTCCGGCCTCAGACACAGAGCCACAGCCTGTGCGTGGGTGTTTGCTGGTACTGAGGGCTCTGCCTGCGTTCATTTCATCCAAATGACAACCCTGGGGGGTAGTTGGGGTTAAGATCCATTTTGCAGATGTGCAAACTGAGACAGAGAGTGTGGAGTGGGGCGTGTGCCCGGGATTGGGCCGGACAGTGGGTGCGAGGCCTGCCCCTGAGGGGCCTGCACCTGTCCTCACAGCAGGCCTCCCCCGGCGGAGCCCTGGGATTCTTTGTTTACAAATCCCCAGCGGAAGGAAAAGCCGGTCCCGCTGGTGCCTCTGGATGCAGACTGGCCTTTATAAGTAGCTTTGGCACCTCGTGGTTTCAAATGGAGCCACTTGCAGATGTGACCCTGGGAGCTCAGGGTCACGGGGTCAGAGTCTGTGCCTGGGCCGTGGTCTTGTTGGGGGGGGGGGGGCGGGTACAAATGGCCTAGGGGGGGGAGAGGCCGAGACGGGAGCGTTTCTGACCCGGCACTGGTGGGGGCCCCTCTCACAGGTCAGGGAAACGAGAGGGGGGCTGGCAGCCCTCTGGCTCTGGCTGCCGTGCGACCCTCCCGCCATCCTGGCTGCCGTGAGTCAGGGAGCTCAGGTGGGAGCAGTGATGTCCCGCCACCGCCTTGCTCCCTACCAGCCCCACCCACTGGTGTCCCAGACCCCTGCTGGGGGCTGCCCCTGCTGGACAGGAGGGAGGGGCCAGCGGAGGCAGGTGGCCACTGTTAGATGCCATAAGTGTCACTGAGGGATTGACGGTCATCATGGTGACCCCTAGACTTTTATAAAGAGTTATGCTAATTAAAAAAAAAAAAAGAAGGTAGTGATCCGGAATCAATATATTTTGTCCCAAATGGGCTAAATAATAAAGATATGTATGTGTCTGGTGTCCCTGTCAGTGGCCATGAAAAGGCCCTCTGGGGGAGCAGTCTTCAGAGCCACCACCTCCCGGAGATACACCTTTGCTAATATGTCCCCTGGGTAGGCAACAAGACCCTCTGCTCCCAGCTCAGTCACCTTGCAAGAACAGGGCCATGACCGGACACTCCCAGCCTTGCAAGGCGTGGCTTTGTCTCCTTTTCTTGGGATTGGGCAGAGACTCGCTGAGCTTAAAAAACGTGCCTGTCCCAGGCCTGGTGGTCCAGGTCAGGTTGGAACTCAGATGTGTCTGGGGACAGAGCCTGGGCCTGGCCATCGTCCACAGAAGGTGAGGACCCCCTAAATCCCTAGGGACCCGAGCTGCGAGTGGGTGTGGGGGTGCGGTGCTGGGTGGGGTCCCCGAATGGAACCCAGGTCCCTTTGCAGTGCTGGGACTTCTTCCTAAGACCAGGGGTCTCCAAGGCCCCCCACCTGTCCCCCCACCCCCCGGTCTGGGCAAAGTTTTGAGGAGCCCGGGCCACAGCTGTCCAGGGTTCCTGCCGCAGCTGCTTCCTGGGGGCGGGAGGGGGGGCGCCGGGGGGGCTGCGCCCCCCTGTACAGCCCTTCCTTCCTCCACAGCTCTAATTCGGGCTCTAATTCGCACGTGGAGGCTGCTGCCTTCCTCTTCCTCTGTCCTGGGAGAGAGAATAGCTCCCCACGTGTCCCTGCAGCGGCCTTGTTCTCACGTGTATCAGACTCTGGGCACCGCTGCTAGCCTTCCCTCCGGCCAGGCTGCTCCCCTCCGGCCAGGCTGCTCCCCTCCAGGCCAGGCTGCTCCCCTCCAGCCAGGCTGCTCCCCTCCGGCCAGGCTGCGCCTGCACAGGGGACCCTCCAGGTGGGCCCAGGGCCACACCTCCTGTGTGGCAGCGCCCGTGAGTGTGGTGAACACGGGCCCCGGCTCTCCAGGTCTGAGGTTTGGAAGACACAGAGAGGAGGGCCCTGGACCCCGCTGGGGGTGTCCCCTCTCTCACCGCAGCTGGATGGGGAGCAGGCCCACATCTGGCTGCTCGCCCTGGGGCCGGGCTGGGCCATTAGCGGGCGCCTGAGTTCTGCACACATTCCTCCCGGAGCTGAACAAAAGGGCCCCATTGACTGGGGCCTGGCGCTCTGCTCCGTTGTAATCCATCACCTCCCTGAGCGCCCCCGCCCCACGGATGATTCTGGACACGGATCAAAGGTACAGTTCAGGCTTCAGGCGGCAGCTGGGAGGGGACGGCCGGGCCCAGCAGCCACAAACCTGGGCAAAGCTGCCCTTTGTCACGGTGACTGCCCCGTGGTCCCCTCCCTGCAGCCCCGGACACAGCCGGCTCTGGGGACTCACCACACGCTCCCTGCGGGTGTGGTTTGTGTGATTGGGCTGTTTGTCCAGCGTGTGGCTCTGGGCCCTCCTTACTGGGGTCCTGGGTCTCCACAGCCCGGGCCCTGCTGGAGCATCGAGTCCGTCCTGTCTGATCCCACGGGCAGGCCTGTGAGACAGCAGGGGCGGCGGGAGGTCGGGGTGGGGGGGGTGCTCAGGGCAGGAGGGTCTCAGATCATGGACGTGTCTTTGCTCCTAAGTTGTCCTTTGACCTTGTCCACAAAGTGATTTGTCATTTACGTGCGCTCGCGCAGTCTCCGAGCAGACGGAGAAGGGGCGCAGGAAGGAGGGCTGCCCGCAGCGCGTCCCCCGCTTGCGCCGGGCACGCTCTGTGTCCAGTTTACAAGCTGAGAGCAAGTGCACTATCTGGTACCTTTTGGCGTCGACGCGGCTGGGACAGCCTCTCCACCGTCACAGCTGCGCTCACGCGTGTGGACGACAGCACAGTGGGTGCCCTGTCCGTGGACGTGCGGCCCAGGGTGCGGTGACCATTGAGCCTGCGGTCACCACAGCCTGCGGTCAGCCCTGTCGGGTCATCGCGGGGCAAGAGCCCGGCTAGTCATGTCCTTGGAGGACATCTAAGGCCGTTCCAGGTCAAAGAACACAAACTTCTTTTGATTGTGGCAAAATACATGTGACGTAAAATTTACTATTTTTTTCATTTTTATTTTATTTAAAAAATATATTGTTATTGATGTCAGAGAGAAAGGGAGAGGGAGAGAGAGAGACAGGAACATCAATGATGAGAGAGAATCATGGACCAGCTGCCTCCTGCACACCCCACACGGGGGATGGAGCCCGCAACCGGGCCTGTGCCCTGACCGGGAATCGAACCCTGACCTCCTGGTTCATAGGTCGATGCTCAACCACTGAGCCACGCCGGCCGGGCCCGATCACTTTTAAGTGCACAGCTCGGTGGCACTACGTACTCTCACATTTTGTGTGGCCGTTACCACGTCCGTCCACAGCTCATCCTCCTGCAAAGCTGGGCCTCTGTCCCCATCACACACTCACTGCCCCGCCCCCGCCCCTGGCACCACCGTCTCCTTTCTGTCGGATGAATCGGCTGCGTTAGGGGCCTCCTGCCAGTGGGCTTGCACAGTGCCTGCCCTGTGACCGCTGGCTTCCTCAGCGTCATGCCCCCAGGGCCCACCCGCGGCAGCAGGTGTCAGACGGCCGTCCCCTCCAGCCGCATGGTCTTCGCCGAGTGGCGGACCCATCTGCGTGTCATCGGTGCTGAGGGGCTCGGCGGCTCCGTGGGGCCCCTGCTTCGCACCCGTGGGCTCCCCCCGGACGTGAGCACAGACTCTCTGAAGCCCCTTCACCTGTGTCGTCCAGCACGGTCGTGGGGCCCCGCCTGCGTCCACTCGTGTCTGCCCGTGTCTGCGCGCTGGGCAGGGAGCCCACGGCAGCAGCCAGGCCCGCGGGGAGGGGCGAGGGGCCCCGTCTCCCTGGATTTGACAGATCGTGTAAACTCCGTGATGAATGCGATGAGAAAGCGGGAAGAATGGCTTTTGTTTAAAAAAAAAAAGAGCCTTCGGGTTGCTTGGTGTTATTTTCGGCTAAAGGCCCGATCTGTCTCTGGAGCCTGGCTTTCCTTTGGGCGAATGG